AAAGGGCTTAGGCCCAATTGGAAGAGATAAGAGAGGGGAGGAAAAGGGCCCGTTCGGTCGTACCGGGTTGAACCGGCCCGATTTTTTTTTAAACACATTTTCTAATAATTTTACTATTTCACCTTATTGTCCATTTTCACATTATCTTAGTGCATTTACCTTTTAAGCACCGATTTATCGAACTGGCAAAAATCACGTGTCAACAACCCAGAAAAAAAAGGCACAATACTGATATTTTTCGTAAGCATGAGGATTGAGGGAGTGGACTCCGCGTTGAGTTAGATTGGTCTCACAGATGGACTCTAGTGGAATCCACCTTATCTAAGGACTGAGGTGCATTGATTCACATTCATTCAATGCATCCAAGTATGGCTTCAATACGTTGGAACGATGCTCTTGCGCTTTGCAGACTTGTAGGGAAGAAAGGATTGCCCTATTCGTAGTAAGAATGTCTTATTGTATAAGTAGTGCCTCAATGGAAAAATCTTCTTTCACAAGGACAGGGAGTGCAAAATAGTCATTGATACTATTCCCAATGCTTTGGGATGAAACGTTATAGGATGGCAATTAAGTTCAAGTCATTCTTTTTTCCGAGCTGTAGCTCCAAATACCAAGGTCATGTCAAATTCTTGTGGTGTCCAATCAAAGTGGTAGAGCAATTGAGCAAGTGGAAGTTCAATTTTGGCAAAACCAAACTAAATTGGCCAAATAAAAATGTTTAAAATAGAATTGACGTATGTACAATAATTTTAGGACTTTTTTGGTGATTATTCCACATTAATTATCTCAGGTTAATCACAATGAAGTATTGCTTTTCTCGTTCTCAAGTTTGATTAATCGTGCCGTTCCAGACCAACTATTGTAGCAACTCTGACAAAGTCTTCAGTTGATATGCTTCTTTGCTTTGAACTAATAGTAACAAGTCATATATGAAACTCTCCCCTTTTCATTGCATATTCTCTCATAATTCTTGGTAGGTTATTGGGCGATGAAGCGATACTTAGTCAAAGCGGTTTATGATTACCTATTGTACAAATTACGCATGAACATGATAAAGATGCAAAAATTAAATCCCAATCTAAACCATTGCCTCCTCTGTCCCTTCCTCCGTTTCTTTCACCCTCGTCTATTACGTTGTTGTTTAGTGTACCAGTTTCGTAAATTGATTTTAAAGTACCAGACACCGTTCGGTATTAATAATTATAGATCAATGAACTTGGCTTAAAACAGGGTCTGATCACGGGCTTTGCGGCCCGCCTAGGCCCGAAGCACAAATTTGGCAGGTCTTGGTATGTAATTTCTCCCTCAACAGAGGTGTATAGCAGCCTGGATTCAATTAAATGCTCTGGATTTAGCTACAGGCCAATGCCAATTATGGCTCGAATACTATCCACAACCTTCAAACGGGAAGACAAAGCAAAATCATGAACCGCCCTGATTGTAAATCTTCTTAGCAGAGGTCCTCTGACATGCTAATCGTCTGCAACTACAGATAGATAATGAACGTATATATGTATAATTTTGTATTACAAGCTCTTTTAACCAATACATACGATAAATAGGAATATGTTTATTTATCTTCTATATTAAATAAATAATTGCCTTTTACTAAACTTAAATAATTAATTAGAAATGGCCTATTTATATATTACATGAATCACTTCAACAACTCAAGATATGGACCGCTCGACTCTTCTATTCCAGATAGCACCTCCAACGGTGGACTATAAAAGAATAAATCGAAGTCTTAAGAGTCGCAATTGTCCTCCTAATTTCCAAGTCATTCTTTATATTTCTTTTCAACTTTGTTTGGGTCTTACCGCCCTGGGATGTGCTTCAGGTGCTATCTGCAGCTCCTCAAATATTCCAAAAAAGTAGCTTTCCAATTGCAAATGAGTTACTAACTAAGGATGTTATTTTATGAGCTATGGACAGAGATGTCTCTTGACTTTGAATTCTTGCGCTCCAAAGAACACGCTAACCGAAAAGAAGAAGAAGAAGCATGATACATAAGGTCAGCGACACGGTTTCTTTCACAAATGAAAGTTAAAATAGAAATATATAATATAGAAATCGACTTGGTTGTTGTAAAATTTTATGGAATCACCGTCAACTGCTTCTATTCTGATACCATGTAAAAATTCGTAAAGTTACTACTAATTGTTCTAAAATTTTAAGCTGTCAGTTGAATGCCTGAGCGGCCCGCAAAGCTAATGATCAAATCCTGTTATAAGAAATAGGAATGTATGTTTCTTTATCTTTCATATTAAAAAAGTTCACGTTTTTGTAGCCTTTTTATGAGGCGATATATATAATTAAATGATTGTTTATCATTCAACACGTATACTCAAATAGTAATGACAAAAGGGATGCAGAGTGAAGACTGATTGGGCCAAACGTCAAAGTCATCTCTTTAGGCGAAAATGAGAGAGTTCGAACTTCACATCTCTTCGTTTGAAGATGTTCTTACATTGGGAGGTCCATCAAATTGTTCACTAAGATGGTTTGGTTACAACTTCTTATCAAACCGCAACACACCAGTCTGACAGCATGAATTGTCAACTATCGAGGCTGAATTGTACTTATAACTATCTTCCTAAATCGCTCAGCAATGGCAACTCGCGTGCAAATGGGCAGTAGTGAAGGAGAATTTGATATCTAACTTGCATGATCAGACTTCCCTTCAAATATAGGCCGACTAGTTGTACTACATTAATTATCTTGAGCTTAATCTTGACAAAGGATCATTTTTTTAGATCTCGAGTCAGGTTAATCGCGCTGTTCCAGACCAGCTATAATAGCGGTTGTGACACAATCTCGACCCTTTTCCAGTTGACGTGCTTCTTTGCTTCGTACTAATCGTAATGAGTCATCTAAAGCTCTCCCCTTTTTCATTGCATACACTCTCATAATTCTTGTTAAGTTACTGTACTATGAAGCATATTTAGTCGGAGCGGTTTATGGTAACCTAGTGTACTCTGACCTAAAAAAAAAAAAAACCTAGTGTACAAATTAAGCATAAACATGATAAAGATGCAAAAATTAAACCCCAATCTAAACCATTGCCTCCTCTGTCCCTTTCTCCATTTCTTTCCCCCTCTACTATAACGTTGTTGTTCAGAGGACCAGTTTTCTAAACCAGTTTGTAAAGTACTCGACACTTTTCGGTATTAGTATCTGTAGATCAATGAATTCGGTTTAAAATGGGATCTGATCACGGGCTTTGCGGCCCGCCCAAGCCCGAAGCACAAATTGGGTGGGTCTAGGCATGTAATTTCTCTCGGGCTCGACACATCCAACCCGGCCCGCCAAGCTCATGCAGGCCCGATCATTTCATCAAGAAAATTAATAGTTTTCCAATCACGGGCAAGGTTTTAGGTCCTATGCCGGCCCACCCATTATTCATGTCTAGTCCAAAACCAGAATCTCAATTCGAATATATTTGGATTTTCATTTCGAGACCCGTTTACATCACCAAGCCCAAAAGACGAAATTCTCTCTCCTCGACTGAGTAGCACGACAGAGATCTCCCTCACCGGAAGCACATGCAATGGAGCTCAGGGGATTCACGTATGGAAGGATTAGGAAACAGAGAAGCACAAAAAAAAAGCTCGGATTCAATTAAATCCTCACATCTAGGTCCAAGTCAATGCGGACTATCGCTTCGACCAAAAAAAAAACATGCGAACTATCGCCCGGATGCTTTCTCCACCCTTCAAGTGGTAAGACAAAGTAATATACCGCCCTGTTTGTAGATCTTCTTAGCAGAGGTCCTAAGACATGCTACCTGCAACTATAGAAGGATTATGTATGTATGCATATTTTTGTATTACAAGCTCTTTAACCAATAAATATAAAAAAAAAATAGGAATATTTCTTTATCTTCTATATCAAACGATCACAAATTTTGTATTTTTCATGAGCCAGATATGTGTAACTAAATAATTGCTTATTATTCAACTAATATAATTAATTAGTAATGGCCTCTTTATTTATTACATGAATCACTTTAACAATATGTTTTTTTTTTGTGAAATCAATGATAGATAAGCAGGAAAAATTAATTTTTCTATCCGATTGGTGTAAAATTAACGGTTTCAACGTAATTAATGTGAAAGGGAGCGGTCGGGAATGGAGGCTTTTTTGAAGATGTGCCTCAACCACAAAGTCCCATTCTACCCAACTTTCTTATTTTCTGATTTATGTCTCCTGCGCGTGTGATTACAGAATGCTTTATTCAAAATGCATATAGACTAAGTTAACATATATACAGCAGCAGACAAACTTAAGAGAAAGTTACAGCCACAGGTACTCAAACACAGTAAGACAATAGATTTCGGTCGAGTATTCCTCTTGTTTCGGACCATCTCTTCTACCTTCTCCGCCTTTGTTTTCTTTTGCCAAAATTCTTCACAAGTCTCTGAGCCCTTCTTCTTGTGATGAAGCTGTTCCCAAGGACCACTCCAATCACTAACCCGCTTGCATACCCCATGCACACAATTTTCCAGTCTAATTCCATTGCATTCCCCGAATCTTGATCTTCTTCGGACGTCGGAGATGATGGAGGCGATGCTTTGGGATCTCTGCATTTTCTAGACAAAGGAGTGCCACATAGCCCCGAGTTTCCCCTGTAGGAGTTGTTTCCAAATGTATCAAACTGCAGTGACTGCGGTATCGGCCCGGTCAAACGGTTATAAGATACGTTGAAGATCGCAAGGAAAGTGAGTTGCGTCAACTCCTGAGGGATCTTTCCAGAGAGCTGGTTTTGAGAAAGGTCCAACGCTTCCAAATTAGTCAGGTTTGCCAAAAATGGAGGCAGAGGACCGGAGAGCATGTTGTTGGAAAGGTTGAGCAATTCTAGTTGCTTTAGGCTTCCAATGGTCTCGGGGATGACTCCGCTGAAGTTGTTGCTTGAGAGATCAATCAATGTGAGGTACTCTTGGATCTTTAAGTAATTCATCTGGATGCCTTTGATAATTACCCTCATAGAGTAGTCAAAGGTTGAGGATGGAAAGAACGGCATTGCTTCCTGGATAAAATTGCCTATGTAGTCTGATTGAACTCTCTCAGAAACTTTCATGGCAGTCCACTGCTTGAAGTACCCGGATGGCAAGCTACCGGACAAATTGTTCTGAGAAAGATCAATGATTTGCAGCTTAGGGAACTCAAAACCATCTGTCGGTTCCCCAACTAGTCCATGAAATCTGTTATGTCGCAATCCAAGTACCTTTAAGCCAATAAGTGATCCCAACCACGAAGGAAAAACATCTCTAATCTGATTGTTTCCAAAACTCAGGAACTCCAAATTCTTGCATTTACGGAGTGATCTTGGCAGTGGCCCCATCAATTCATTATAACTCAGATCAATCATGAGAAATGCACAGTTGTCCCCATTCAACTGAGGAATTTTCCCATTAAAGCCGTTGCTTTGTAGGCTCATTACTTCCAAAGAACCACTCAAATTACTCAAGCACCGCGGAAGCACCCCAGTCAAGTTATTATTGGACAAATCAATCATCCGAATCGAGGTTAGATTGCATATAACTGGCGATATTTCTCCAGAGAGTCTGTTGTTTGAAATGTAGTAGTTCAAGATTTTGGGAGGGGGAATCGGAAGTGATCCTTGCAACTGGTTGAACCTGAGATCTGCACTGACAAGCTTTGTCCACTTGAAGGTAACGGGATCCTGTCCAAAACTAGTTAGGAAGTTACCAGAAAGGTTCAAATACACCAGCTCTTTTGTGCTTACATTTAAGAACCATTCGGGCACTTGACCGCTGATCTTGTTGTAGGATAGATCTAGCTGATACAGATCTTTAAATGGCTGATACAGATCTTCTTGACCACGAAGGTACTCTGGGAAACTATTTAAGTTGCATGAACCAAGACCTAGTACCCAATATCTTTTTGATATGTTGGGTTTAATCATCACCGACAAATTATTGGATGATAATTTAAGTACAAAGAGGCTTTCAATCTTTGAAAACATATCTAACTCCACTGTGCCGCTTAAATTATTTGAAGTTAGATCAAGAACGCCGAGATTCTGTAAGTGAGTGATTGTGCTTGGAATTGAGCCGTGGAAGCTATTAAATGAAAAGTTAATATAACCCAACTGCGCCAGACTACCTAACCAAGTTGGTATTTCCCCCTCTAATTCATTTGTGTCTAAAAATAAGTACTCAAGCTCTTGGAGGTTTTGGAAAGACGATGGGATTTCTCCAGTCAATCGATTGGAGGAAAGAGCTAAACTGGTAAGCTGAACAAGGTTTCCTAAGAAATATGGGATTTGTCCTGTCAATTGATTAAAGCTCAGATCCAAATAAGTAAGCTGCATGAAGCTCCGTAGAGAGGATGGAATTTCACCCATGAGTTCATTCCCTACCAAACTTAAATAGTTCAGTTTGGTAAGGTTTCCTAGAAAAGATGGAATTTTACCTGTCAAATCATTACTGCCAAGATCCAAATGCTTAAGTCGAGCAAAACGTCCTAAAATTGATGGGATTTTACCGCTGAATGAATTTATACTCAGGTCTAAATGAGCAAGTAAAGTTAGATTTTCAATTGATCGGACTGAACCGAAGAATGCATTAAATGAGAGGTCTAGATGAGTGAGTTGGGTCAAGTTGCCCAGTGAAGTTAGGATGTGGCCTATGAAATTGGAGTTGGACAAATTCAATTCACGCAAAGAGCCGAGGTTTCCAATTTCAAGTGGTACCTGAGAGAAATTGAAGCCATTAAAAGCGAGGTTAAGGCTTTGTAGGTGAACTAGACTGAGGATGCTGGCGGTGCTGGAGTTGATGGAACCGGTGAGACAACTGCAACTGAGGTCGAGGCCAATCACGTGACCGCTCGCCTCATCACACTCAACACCATCCCAATCACAACAATTGCTCGTAGTTTCCCCGATTGCTTTCCAAGATTCAAGCTTCACATGCTTATCCGATGATTCATCACAACAAGGAGGCCTTTTTGTGAAAAAGGTTGCCTTGAACTCCAATAAGGCAGATCTCTCATTTGCATGGCATCGTGGTTGGGTTGAATTAAGAGAAAGAGATGCAACAACTCTTAACAGCAAAAGCAAGAACTGCAAGATTATCATGTTGGTGAAGTAAAAGGACACTTATTCTGTGGTACTCTGCAAAACTAGTTAGTGGGATAAGGATACTTCTCGACTTGGGATATACAAGAAGCCCAACGGTGAAGATACTATTGTTATATAGACAAGCTTTTTGTCTTCTCCATAATTGTTCTTTCATCATCAGTAGGGGACCACGTGACAGAAACCCCTTCAGTATGCGGGCAGATCCTAGAACGAGCAGCGAATCTCACTTCAGCTTGACTTGGACCATGAAATGGAAATGGAAATGGAAATGGAGGAAAGCAAATTGGGCCAATCTTGTCTTCTGACAATAAATGAAGCGTGTTGAATTGCATCTCTTTGCATATGACTTGTTCTTGCATAGCGCGTCTCGTGATTCAGGATTGAGCAGGAGGAAAATAGTCTGATGTGTGACTACTTGATTAGTTTACACAATCAGACAAGTCCTATATCATGGCATATCACCCTAGGTGTTCTTGAAATATTGGTACATAATCACAGCTTGTGCTGTTACCGAAGGACAGTGTATTGCTCACTTGCCATAATAATCACTGGGGCTACCTAATTATACTTCTTTCTTGCTACAAATGGAGCGTCCAGGTAGAACTTTCTAACTTGTCATAAAAAAGATGAAATCGTCACTTGCCAAGAAATTCGGTTAACGAAACATATTAATTTGTTGGGACTTACGAAGAGAATCAACAAGGTTGGTTTTTAAAGTCATTTCTAAAAACATCTGGGATGAGTTTTGGCATGGTTTATTTAAGGTTAAGTTCAAAATGTTGTATTTAGCCCTTCTTGATTTTCAGTTTGTTTTAATAATTTGTCCATCCAATATATTCATCTTCTAAAAGTCTTAAAGAAACTTGTGGCTACCGGGTGGGTTCTCTCCTTTGATCTTTTGTCTTTTTTCTTCTTCACGGTCCCACGTCAGTTTCCTGTATACAGAGACCTTCATCTTCATGCCAGCCAAAGTCATCGGCAAGATTTTTTCGTTTGCGTAAACAGCTCTTAGTGGGGACCGAGAAAAGTGCTGGGCCACGCTAGAATTGATGACCCTCTGAAAATTCTTCGGTGACCTTGACTTTAACGTCTGCGCTTTTTTTCCTGTGATCCCAGAAAAAAAAAGCACAATACTGAAATTTTTCGTAAGGATGAGGATTGAGGGAGTGGGACCGCGTGTCAGGTTAGATTGGTCTCACGGATAGACTTTAGTGGAATCGACCTGATCTAACGATTAAGGTGCATTGATTTACATTCATTCAGTGCGTTCAAGTATAGCTTCAGTACGTAGGTACCATGCTCGCGCACTCTAAAGACTTGAAGGAAAGAAATAATAGCTCTATTCGAAGAAAGAATTGATGTGGCTAATAATATCACCTAGAGTGGGGTGGATAGGTAAATTTAAAAAATTTGGCAAAGAATTGCGGAATTAAAAGTGCCAAAAGTGACCGAATGAGACAGAGTGTGAATATGATCAGAGTTGTGATAATATTCAAATAAAGTAAATTTGAGCAAAGGGATAGAAGATTTTGCACAGAGAACTTATAGTGGTTCAGCTTAGTGTAAACATACGTCTACTCTCCCACGCTAATAATTTATTGGTTGGATTTTACTATAATTGATGAGAAGTTACAGTGGTACACGCCTGCTAATATTCAAGCACTTCTCCACAAAATAGGTGTTGCTAATATTCAAACTGATATATCTCACTATCTCACACCTAAGCATATACTTATAACACTGTTCTCAAGAGATTACAATAATATGCTATGAGAAGACAATTTAAAGTATGTGAAGCTCTCTCGAAATTTGGAATGATGTACTCTTGATATTTCTTGCTCTTCGGCGCCTTGGTCTTCTTTTATACTTCTTAGCATCCGAACTTCCCATTCGACAATCTTCAAGGACCACTTTCCAATCTAATACAATTGTTGAGAAGATTAGGTAGACGTTGAGATTGAACAATTAGAGATCCCGTCGATTTAGTCGCCCATACAAACAAATCTTGGTTTCCAAAAGTGAAGATTCTTCAACTATGGAAATAATATTGCCTTCAAGATGATTGTCCATCAACCAAAATATCCCGCATGATTGATTGTTTTGCGAAGATAAAGTTTAAGATTGATAGTCAATCACAATCTTTTAAAGTGGCAATCCATTCCAGATTACTAGCTGTAAAGAATGAGATTAAGAATCTCAAAATGATAACCTTGAAGTTTGTGACAAGAATCTCGTCGTAGGTAGAAAAGGTATTATGCTAATATTCAGCTCGTTCTGGTGATATCCAGCACATGCTGTGAGAGAAAATTTCAAATAAGGATCCGAAGTGCTCTTATTTTGTCAAATAAGGGCCTGAAGTGGATTTATGTTCTCAAATAAGGATCTAAAGTGGTTATAACAGTTTCAAATAGAGGCCTCACCCCACCGGAGGCCTCACCCCATCGGCTCGCCGGCCAGCCAAATTTTCCGACCGACCAAGGGCATTTTCGTCCAAAAATAATTTTAACATAAATTTTAGTTAAATTAGATTTAAAAAAAAAAGGGGGCAGGCCTGGCAGCCAGCCCTCCCCGCCTGTGGCTGCCTCCCCATCGCCAGTGGGGCGGCGCCGGCGGCAATGGCTAACGGGGTCGTCGGCTAGAGGCGAGGGCTGCTAGCCCTCGCCAGAGCCGGCGGGAGGTGACCAGTATTGGGCAACAGTGGGAGGTGGGCGATGGCAGTCAACAGTGGGGGGCGGGTGGCAGGCGGCGGCGACCAACAGTGGGACGTGGGCGGCGAAGGAAGGTAGAGGTGGCTGGTGTTGGGCGGCGGCAAGAGGTGGTCGATGTTGGGCAACGGTGGGGGGCGGGCGACAGCGACCGATGGTGGGAGACGGCCAGTGTTGGGCGGTGGCAAGAGGTGGCCCGTGTTGGGCGATGGCAGTCAACGGTGGGGGGCGGGCAACGGCGACCAACGGTGGGAGGCAGCCTTAAGATTACACCTTAAGATATGGACTGCTTGACTCTTCCAAGGGTGGACTAGACTACAAAAGAATGAATCGAAGTCTTAAGAGTCGCGGTTCCCCTCCTAATTTCCAAGTCATTCATTAAATTTATTTTGAACTTTGTTTGGGCCGTATCGTTGGGGATGATAAGACATGGATAGAGATGTCTCTTGACTTAGAATTCTTGCACCCCAAAGAGCACGCTAGCTTAGAAAATGCAAGATACAGAATGTCATTGTTTAGGCACTTTGAAAATATACGCCCGACACCGTTTCTTCCCCAAATAAAAGCTGAAACATAAGTATATAATACTTGATTTCACCCGGTTAGTGTAGAAATTTTTTAGACTACTGCAACTGTTCTAAAATACAGTCTATATCGTCCTTCACAAGACTGCTAGAGATCATGACGTAGTCTCGAGACTGACTGCGAAACTCGACTCCTCCGTTATAGATAACACCTCAAGATATGGACTGCTTGACTCTTCCAAGGGTGGACCGGACTACAAATGAATGAATCGAAGTCTTAAGAGTCACGGTTGCCCTCCTAATTTCCAAGTCATTCTTTAAATTTATTTTGAACTTTGTTTGGGCCGTATCATCAAGGATGATAAGACATGGACAGAGATGTCTCTTGACTTGAAATTCTTGCACCCCAAAGAGCACGCTAGCTTATAAAATGCAAGATACGGAAATGTCATTATTTAGCGCCTTATACACCTAACACCGTTTCTTCTCCCAATAAAAGCTGAAATAAAAGTATATAATATTGGATTTCACCTGGTTAGTTTAGAATTTTGTGTGGCCACTACAATTGTTTTAGAAAAGTGTCGTGAAAGATTTGAACTTAAGACTTTATGATCTGATACCATATAAAATTCCGTGAGATCAATCTCAATTATTTTAAAAGATTATTCTGTTAAACGAATGTGTGCTTTTAAAAATGTGAGGTTTGGTTAGAAAATGGGTGTAGGATCATATTAGATGTCTATATTCGTTGTGTAATATTCTATAATCTTGGATTTCTTATCTTTTTAACACTTGAATTCCGAGTGAATGCGTGCGTGCGGTCTCCTTGTCAGGCGGTGTTTCTCTCTGCAATCGAACACCTGATCAGCCAGAGACCAGATGACAAAACCCATTCAACTGGTTACCATGCCGCAGAAAGAGCCTCAGACTTTCTGTGGAGCTGCAGGTCGGCAATGATGAAAGCAATGCAGATTGAGGATTGACTGGGCCAAACATCAGGTCATCTCTTTCGGACAAATGACATTCTTCCCACTTCACATCTCTTTCTTCGTATGAAGATGTTCCTACACCGCGAGTTCCATTGAATTTTTTGCTAAGATGGTCTGATCACAACTTCTTTACAAACTGCAAATACAAAATGGGACAACAGTTATACATATAACTACGTTCCTATATCTCCCGGCAATGGCAGTTCGCGTGCAAATGGGCAGTGATTGTAATAGTGGCGTTGACTGAGTCGATTGGGCAGAAAAAAAAAGTTGACTCGTCAACAAAAGGCAAGAAAAAGTGGACGCTATAAAGGAAAGTTAGGGCGCACAGGGACGAAGAGAGCGAGAAAAAAGGAAAAGAAGAAGAAAGGGAAAAGAAAGGCAAGTCCTATATGATGGCATATCACCTGAGGTGTTCTTGGAATACCGGAACATAATCACAGCTTATGTTGTTACCAAAGGACAGTGTATTACCGACTTGCCATAGTAATTACTGGGGCTACCTGATCATACTTCTTTCTTGCTGCATATGGAGCATCGAGGTAGAATTTTCTAACTTGTAGTAGGAAAAATGAAATTGTTGCTTGCCAAGAAATTTGGTTAACAAAACATATTAATTTGTTGGGTCTTTCGAAAAAGATGAACAAGGCTATGGGACCCTTTAGAATTGTTCGATACTCGATCTTCTTCTGAAGCGTGTACAAGCTTTATTTTAGTTCACTTACTGGATCTTGAAGTCTCTGTCTTACCACGAGAATTGCTTTGATGGGATTGGTCGTTAGATAAACCTCGAGCTCCCCAGGTTCCTGAATCTTTAAGAGCACATTGCCTCCTAATGTCAAATTCTTTCTTCTCCTTATGATCGGCAATGACATTGT